TCCACGCCTTCACCAAATGGCTTATTTGCGTATATGTGTAAATATGTATGCATACGTATACAAGCATGTATTATACATATATAGTTATGTACACTTGTTACGCGCTCTTGTATGAGCTTTGTTCGTTATAAATGTGTGCCCATATGGAACTTCAAAAAGTTCCCTTTCTCCGCTTATTTCCATTTGTTTTCCCTCTTTTTACGCTTTCCGGTTCCCCTCACACGGGAGTTCCCAAATATTGCTCATGTGCGTGCATCCCGCAACCCTTTTCGCATCAAATAAGTCCGACGTTTTATATGTACATTTTTCATTTAAACTCGTGCACACCAAAAGAAGAGCACCGCTTTCCGGTAGGCTGCGCTTTTCCTTTTCCCTTTTATACGTTTTCTTTTTTTAATTTTCCACGTGCGTGTGACTATGCATATTGGCATACATGTAGCGCGTACGCGTACGTATACGTGTATATATATACACCATGTGCGCTCCTCCGTCACATGTACACTAGCCCGGTTATACTCATTTCCATATGTGTAATACGTGTATGCGTAAAAAATTAAAAAAGGAAATTCCCTTTTTCACGTGTGCTTTTTTCTAGTATGCGCATAATTATACATCCGTACATATAAGTTTCATAAGAGCAGTAAAAAAAAAAAAAAAACAACAAGTTCACACATAAGGTGACTAACGTATGTTATGTCAATTTCTTCCTTTTGTTCACCTTGTTGACATGTGTTTTTTTCCTTTTTTTTTTTTTTTTTGTTCTCCTCTAATAATTGTAGTTTTACACCATTTTGGTTATGCAAGTTTAGGAAGAACCGTTCGAGGTTGTTCACTAGTTTGCTCATTTTATAATGTCGCATTGCACGTTTTACATTTTTTGCTTTCTTTTTTTTGTGTTCCCTTTTTTTTTTTCTAGGTGCTCGACCAAACGTACGATGTGTCACGTGTAAGCGTGCACGCAATACATACATGCAGAGAAAGAAGAATAAGCACGCGCAGCGTACATGTATACACATACGTAGTCACTGGAACATGCGCATATATATATATGTGTACACGTGTACATACATGCATAGCCCCCCCGTTTCTTACGTACATACATGCATGGATGCGCATGTAACTGTGCATATGCGTTCATGAGTGCACGCATGTAATATGTATGCTCCGAGCACGAGTTGAGAAACATACGCAAGAAAAAAGCAAAGACAAAAATAGGAACAATAAGAAAAAAAAAACCAAAAAGTAACGAAAAATGAAAGAAAAAAAAAAAAGAAAAAATCTTAAGACACTATAGTATATGTGAAGAAATACATTTTTACGAAATTCATCAGGTATCGTTTTTTTTTTTTACCATTTTGTTATTTTTTTTTTTCCAGGGTTTTGCAATTTTTTCCATAGTTTTGTTATTTTTTCCATAGTTTTGTTATTTTTTCCATAGTTTTGTTATTTTTTCCCTTGACCTGTGCCATTTTTTTCCATCGCCTTACTACCTTTTACTTCGTTTTGCTATTTTTCCTGTTTTCCCTTTTTCTCTCCCTCTTTGCTTATATCGCCTTTTGAAGGATAATATATTTTTTTTTTTTTTGTTCAAACCCAGGAACGAACAAATTTCGTTCACGAGTGGTAGATGCTAAACTGTATGCTACACATCGCTCAGTGTATATACAGTACGCGAAGGCGTGAGCACCCAAAATGTATTTAAAATAAATACAAAGAAAATATATTTTCTGTGCATACGAACACTTTTTGTTATTTTCTCATTTGTTCGCACGTGCATTTTTTTTTTTTTTTTTTTTTGTATGTGCCAGTAAATCGTGATATGCAAAATTGCGCAAAGGGACATACAGAAACAGAGAAAAGAGCAAACTGTTCCACAAGCAATTAACACGAACGATGAGTGAAAATTTTTGCCATTGTACTAGGCAAAAAAAAAAAAAAAAAAACCATCAGGGATAGTGTGATCCCTTCCGCGCGCGCATGTGTAACACTAGTAGAACATTTGCTGTGTGATACACGCGATTGTACATACGTGTTTTCGTGTGTGTATTCGTAGGATTACATAAGGTTCACGCGTTTCCATAAGTACACACGATTGATACGGAGTATACACTTTTTTTTTTTTTTTTTTTTTTTTATTATTATTAATTCACCTTTTGCAAATAAGCAAATGTGGTTATATGGAAAATAAAATGTATTTACCATTTTTGGAATTATATTGTTCATTTGTTTTTCACATTAATGATTTAGCATTTTACACACATGAATAAAACCTGTTATTGTACCTGCCTTTTCCTTTTCCACCTCATTGTATGTTTGACAGATTAGCAGTATATGCTTTTTCTTTTTCTTTTTTTTTTTTTCCTTTTTTTTTTTTTTTGGTGTATGAAAATATGTACATATGTGTAAGCTGAATGTGTAAGGATAATTTTTTTTTTTTTTTTTTTTTTTTGTTTGCAAAGATAATCAGTCATGCGAACCGTTTTATGTTGCTCCCCCCCCTGCGTGAACAATCCTTTTACACCCCTTACGTCGATTTAAGAAGCAGGACGGGGGAAAAAAGCGAGACGTGCACCTCGTTACTCGTGCGTGTGCTTCTGCGCGTGCATGTGTAGCATGTGTTGATAGGCACAAGTACCCACGTGTTTCCATTCAATATCGTGTAAACTTTCCTAAGCACTTGTGTGTGGAGATACGCAGATGTGCACGTGTTGTAATAACCCCCCTCTTGTAGAGAGTAGCAATTTTTGCAGTGGAACAAGTGTACTCATAAAACTGTTGCGTTTTATATATGGCCCCCCCCTCATGCTTGTGTACACAACGGGCACGAATTGATGAAATTGCGCGCTCCAGTCCCCGTGTATTGTCAACACGGGGAGTGGTCTGCATAGCGCGCATAGTATAAATAGAGTGAAGCATATCGTAAGCGTAATTTTTTTTTTTCCCCCCATCTTTTCCTATAGGGTATATATGTGTGTGTATTTTTTTTTTTTTTTTTTTTTTTTTTTGAAAGTTCGTGCAATATATAGTAATAAGTCAGGACGCGTATCCGATGAACGTATCATTCTGCTTGGTCCTAGATCACCTGGCGTGATTGTCCGTACGTATGCACATGTTAAGAAGTATGCGTAAGGCATACACGTTTTTTTCTCCCCATGCCGACGTCAGTTGCATGCTGCATCGTTGAAGTGATACAAGTGACACTGTCTCTAAAAGACATGCATAACTCGCCTTCCTTTCATCACCAAGGATGATGAAAAAAAATATGCTGACCAGATCATGTAGTGAGTACATTTGTCGTGTTAGTAAAAGACTACTAATATAGGGCCTTGCCTGTACACGTTTGTGCGTAGTTTAAATAATTCGCCTCCTAATATGCACATATAAATGATGTGTTATAGTTCAATGTGTTTTTTCTGCCCAAGTATATCCCCCCTTCGCGCCCGTAGGCCTGCACAACCCGGGGGGGGGGGTGAACATATGAAGCATAGTTCACTTATCTCTTCAATACATAAAAGTTAGTCATCACGTGTGTGTACATATGTTCATGCACATATTTCAACTGGTTCATAGTTCCCTCCCCTCCCCTTTATTTATTATTATTATTATTTTTTTTTTTTTGTGATAATACGCATATTTTGAAAAAAAAAAAAAAAAAAAAGACAGACATAACTAAGAGTCAATTTTTTTTCTGACATGTTGACTGGATAGTAGATGGTCTCACAGTTGTATGAAAATTATGTAACCCTTTTTTTCCATTCCTTTTTTTATTTTTATTTTTTGTACATTCACTTGAATTGTGAATTTATTATCTTTTAGCCCGATATATGCATTGTTGATTATCCCTGTGTTCAAAGATTTTATTTTTGCAATTTTTGCAATTTTTTCACTGTTCATAATTTTTATTTTATTTATTATTTTTTTTTTTTTTTTTGCACCCTTTTTGTACGCTCCTCGTAATTTTTTTTCCATCACCTCTTTTTTTTGAGGAACGTTGTTATGTGCATTATGTGAATCGTCGCGTGGGAAGAATCCACTCGACCTTTTCATTAGTAGACCTGTTCAGCACTCTTGCCGTCCTGCTCAACCTCCCCGCTGCTTGTGCCCACGGGGAGGTTACACCTTCATTATTTGTTTTCATAATTTTTTATGTGTGATGATTGTTAGAACAAATCTGTTTGCATAGGGGAGAATCTACCACTGCGGAAGCGGAGCTTCGGCAAGGCAGCGAAATACAACACATATATAAAGTGTGTATTCGTCTTGGGGTCCATCAGCCGACCTGCACCCACACTTTGTAAAATATATATATATATATAAAGGAGCTCCACCAATAGCGGCACCATCGCTACCCATTATGTGTGCACGTATGCATATATTCAGGAGCGTCGAGGTACGTATCTTTTTTTTTTTTGCCCCCATTTTTGCTCGTTTGTTCGCCCCAATAGGGTCTACACCGTGCATTAATTAATTTTTTCTGGTTATGCCGCCAACTCTTGTGCGCTTGTAAATGGATGTAGATTGATGATGCCGCTAAGTTTATCTTCTGTATGTTGCCAGGGGGGTACAGCGACAGAGGAAATTTTATTCATTGCCCCATTTTAGTGTCACTCCATTAATTGCTGCGTACATATTTGTGTAACCGTGCATATCTCCTCCTTTTTATTCTCCATCCTGTCTTTTCCCATTCGTGCTTATAGTACCCTGTGAGGAGTCCTCCATAGAGTTTTATTTCTAGCGTAGTTGGGCTCCTGTGGACAGAGACCGGATCCCTTTCTGCATGCACTTTTTTTTTTTTTTTTTTTATCGCCAAGCATCCTCGCTGCACATTCGTTTGCACCCTGGCGAGGCTTCTAGTCCATCCGCTTCCCTTGCCCTCCAGCCCCGTTGCCTCGTGTTGTATATTTTGTGGAGGCACCATTTTGAAGCAAAACTTGTGATTATATATTTTCACCATTTCAGAAGCACAGCTCATGTCCCAGTGTACCCACATCGACGAAACGATGGAGACCGAGGAGGGAGACACTCCAGCAGATGTGAGGTGTGTCGTGCCTGCGAAAGGGGACAGGCCGGAGGGAGGCCACATTGATCCTATTGACGAGGGTTTCTTCCAGGTTAACCAGATCGACCCCATCCATGATGTAAACGCTTTAGCCATCACAGAAAACACGACCCCCTCGGGGGAAGAGAAGAGCGGGGGGAATAGTACCACCCACACAGGGGGGATAAAAATTGGAATCAACAAAAGGGATTACGATTTGTACATTAGTCAGCTGAAGGATAAGGGGGTGAAAGATGTAGAAACAAATAACGCAGGACAAATGAGAAGTAGCATTGGTGAAGGAAAAAGCAACGAATACGACTCAGACTATTGTGATATAAAGAACTTGGACGGGAGCACCACGGAATGCTTCGATGATGGAGACGCATGTAATAAAAGAACAATGAACACAATTATAAGTAGGATGGACAGTGACCTCACCAACACGGAAGATGCTCTGAGCAAGGTTAATGATAACAGTACCACCTACATGAGCAATGAAAATAATATATGTCTTGTGAACAATGAGGCAGACGTTACGGACCACACCAACTTCAACCCTAGTTTTGAGTTCGATGAGATGGTAGGCCCAACGGATAAGACCACCTACGTAGAAAATTGCGATGGTGTTCATTTTTTTAAAAATGGAGAGGCACGTCAGATTCAATGTACAGCCGGCGAGGATGGAAGTGATGATCGAAGCGGCAATTTTGCGGAGCATATTGTCAACCCCGAAATGAACAACACAATGCCTCTAACCATCGCGCAACCGTTTGGCGAAACGGAACAGAAAAGCAAAGAGGATAAAATACCTAATCCAGTGAACCCTAATTTTTGTGATCAACCCCATCTGAGCAAACTACAAGAAGTGGTGCACAACAACTACGCCTTTGTGGACAATAAAGAATTATCAACCCAGTTGGGTACCTTTTGCAGTAGAATTCAAAATGATGAAGGGGCGACCTCTGTAGGAGGGGGACCACTCTACCAGCTTAACGGTGAAGGAGAAATAGAAGCAACAGGGAATTTACACGACGAGACGGCTTTTCTCGCCAGTACGCACCTGTATGAGGGGAAAGATGCACACCAGAGTGACCTGTCTGTGAGACCGACAACTGCACATGGTGAGCATCACGTCAACGCAGCGACCCATTTTTACATCCAAGGGGGAATAGATCAGGGAGAGGACAACGGAAAAATATCGGAGCTGCCAAATCATTTTGGAGAAAAAATCACAAGTAAGGGTAAAGAGAACGGCGAAGAAGAATTACGTACTGATTCGGAGGATAAAAAATTTTTATTTCAACAGAGGGAGCAAAGTAATGTGCATGTGAGTAGCCACTATCACCATCTCTATGAAGACATTCATAGGGACACCACTGAGGAGAGCCGTTTGCGCATGACGAGCAACGGCATCAGCGACGGAAATGGAAGCGGCAACGTGGTTTGCTCCAGTGGAGAAATACACGCAGAAAATCATGGCGCCCAGCAGCCAACCCCACCACAAGACGGGGGCAATACACATGATGTGTATAACGAAACTTTTGCCATGCCTAAAAAGGTGGGAAGACGGGCAGGAAGGAAAAGTAAAAGTTGTGTCAATAGGTCTGGAGAGTCTAATGGTGATACAAAGGGGGGAGCACGAATTAGTTTGAAGTCCTCTGGTGCGTGTGACGTCAATGCCACAGCCGACTGCACAACCGACTGCACTGCAGAGTGTGCAACAGACCGTGCAACAGACCGTGCAGCGGCGGGCGAACACCAAATGAATGACCCGACCCTTGGTCAGTCCAAACATAATGAACAAGAGGAACAGCCAAATGGTGACGACCCAGGAAGGGCAAAGAATGAACATACGAATGAGACATACCCTAGGAGACCCCTCAGAAATGCCGCAAAAAAATGCATTCATTTATGGTCAGAGGAATTAAAGAAAAAAAGCGAAAAGCATAATGCTGCTTTGGAGAGGAACAAAAATATGAGTGACCAAAGGAAGGAAGAGAGGGCCATGCGGAGAAAAGAGAAAGTAATAAAAAATGGGTCTAAAGTAATTCTCAGGGGAGGATTGGGGAAGGGATACGGTGGAAGAGGTTGGGCCAGAGGGGAAGCCAAAAGGGATGCGAAGTTTTACCAGGATGGTGCCAACGGGATTGATCATGTAGGGGAAGAACAGGGAGCACAGTATGAGCAGCAGGAAGGAGAAGTACAAGCAGGCGAAGTACATGGAGTAGAGGAAGGCGCTGAAGGAGTGAATGGCAAGATGTACTGTGAAGAAGGACAGGAAGTCGTTCATCACCGACGGGCAAGGGGAAGGCCACCCCAACGAACGGGAAGTCACACAGACCCGAAGGTACGAGAAAGGAACCAAGCAAATGAAGCTTACATGAGTGGCCAAATCAAGCCAGAACAACTCAACCCTGATACAAACGAAAGAGGAACAAAAGGAGGAAGGAAAAAAAACGACTTGTCTTCTTCCTTAGGACAAGAACACGATAGCAACATCCCAATCCTGTTTAATGACTCCATGGATGAAAGAGAAATGTTTAAATATCTCGACCTGTTGAGACACCTGCCAAGTAAGAAGGGAGGTGCACAGTACAAATTGCACAAGGCTATATTAACAGAAGAAATGGTTCGAAGGGCAAAAAAATTCCCACTCGTGCAGGGAGTATACTTTGACCGGTACCAACAAAGATGGAGTGTCAATTGGAATGAAGATGGAAAGAGAGTAGCCAAATATTTCCCCATTAAATTATTTGGGTTCGATTATGCAAGGAGGTTGGCCATCTATTGTAAAAATTTTCAAAAGATTCCTGAGGAGGCACTTATATTTGAGCAGGCCTACCGGGCCAGCCAGCAGAGCAGCAAGCAGAGGAGTGACCATGCGGAGGGCGCCAACGTTGCTGTTAGCGAGATGGGCAGCGGCAATGGCAGCGGCAAGCTCAGACGGGGAGGACCCAGGAAAGGCTACAAGAAGAGGGGTCTCCGAAAGCAGGATAATTTGAACGAAGACAAGACGAGCAGCGGATGTGGCAAGAGGAGAAAAAATATTAACAATTATCAGGGTGGGGAGATGGGCAGCACAATGAGTGAAGGTCAGGGGGACAACCAAGTTGCCAACCAAGGTATGCACCACGGCGGCGACGAAGGTGGCAACCGCGCCCCAGGAAAAGTCTCCTCGAGTAACTACCCCCTGTGTAGCAATTACTCCGGTAGTGCGAACAGCGGTGTGGGTAGCGGCCTGAGTAGCGGTGTCAGCAGCGGTGAGAAGAAGGATCCCAGTTACAGAAGCGACGGGGGCGCGAAGGACATGGAGTACAGCGGCCCTCCCAAGGGGACCCCCTACTTTCCCGGTGGCAGCCTGCCCAGTTCGCAAGGCGTCGGCGGGGAGTACACGGGCAGCATGAATCCCCAGCATAACCTGCAACACGTGCAACACATGCAACACATCTGGGGGGGCCTTGGAAACGTGAACGCACCCGCCGCACGGAACGCTGGTGGTCGGGACAAACAGTATGTGCAGGGTTACCTCTTCGAGGGGGACTTCCAAAATGGCGACATGGCCAAGCAGCATGACCATCCACATAGCGGCCTCCCCAGTGGCGCCCCTTTTGGCTGTACACCGAACCAGCCAAATGAAGGGTCGAATAGTGTGAACCCTAGTACAGACCATGTGAAGGAAGAACAGAAGAACCTCGCACGTGTCGACGCCAGTGCTGACCGAAGCGACCTGGAAAACATGATGCTCATGAGACAGAAGATGATAATGCTTGAACAAGGAACACCAGCGAATGCGAACAAGTACATGCCATTTGCAAATGCAACCATGGGATTCCCCATCGCGCACTCCAGTAACGAAATGAGACGCTTCGGAAGCGGAGAGACTCCTTTGGATGGAGACAAGAGGATCATTTCTATGCATAACGTGGTGGGCAGTGGTGTGAACAACGCGAATGAAAATGATAAGCAATTGAGCAGCAATGCCTTGCCTCAGACAATGATGGGGAATAATTCAACTGTAGAAAATGAAAAAAAAAAAAAAAAAAGAGGAAGAAGAAAAAAAGGGGAGTCAAAAAAGAATCATTTTGTATACACATCAACAGGGACATCTTCTTCCTTTAAATCATCCTCCTCGCACATGTCCTCCACCTCCTCATGCTATAAAAATATTGAAATGCATTTGTCTTCTAATGGGCCTTTGCATGATATAGGGGAGGCGCACAGCAGATGGAGAAAAGGGGAACGGGAAAACACAACAGACGCGGCCGCAGCAGACGCCGCACATAACTCCAGTTACAATGATGACAGGGGTAATAATTATTATACCACGAATGAGGACGGAAGACAGGGAGATGCTGCAACCATTCAGGTGGTTGAGGAAGATAAGGTCAGCAGGGCCAACTTGATGGAAGGCAGGGGTGATGCAAATAATGATAGCTGCTACCTGCATGTGGGAACAGGACCATCTCGAGTGGAACAAGTGCCAGAGGAGGGGAAGGAAGAGCAAGAAGACGACAATGATAACGATTATGACCACATGGACGACAATGACGTGGACGACGAGGCTGGCGGCGACGACGCAGGACGAAACGTATCCCCCCAAGGTGCAGCCCGCAGCACAGTGGACGGAGGTCGGAACGAAGAACAGGTTGAGAATGATGGAAACAAAATGGAAGACATACTAAACATAAACAAGTACAGTGAGATAGTGAACGGACTAGATAATTATAACCTCATGAGTAGGATGAACCAGATGGGTGTCAAAGTGGAAAGGGAATTGATTCCCTTTGGAGGAGGGCTAAATTTGAAGAGGGAGAATACGCAGGGAGCGAGTAAGGACAGGTTAAAGGAGGAAGTACACCAGGGGGAAGAAGTCACCGTAGGAGAAATTCCCAACGGGGGAGACATCACCCAGGAGAACAACCCCGACGACATAAACTCAAGAATTGTAGGTGTCCATTATGACAGGAAGCAATATAGATGGAAGGCCACCTGGTACACCTCACACGGAAGGAGATGTGCCAAGTACTACCCCATAAAACAGTATGGCTATTTGGAAGCGAAAAAAATGGCCATAGAATGTAGGAGGGCATACAATGCTTATAAAAAGTTAAAGAAGGATCCTGAAAATGGAATTGAAGAAGCAGAATTCAATTTCGATAGCACCATTTTCCCAAAGGAATATTATATAACTCTATTTGAGAATGATGAAAAAAAGGATGGTTACTTTTGGAACCCTAAAAAGAATAAAAAGACGGGGAAAAGGAATCCGCTTCTAGACAATAATGAAAAGCAGAGGAGACACTACAATGAGGCTTTGAAAAAAATTACAAACATTAAATATAAAGACCTTTCCCAATTGAATGAATTTATGGCGAGGAGGAATGACGGCGAAGTGTCTACTTATGCGTCCATGGCGATGGGAGTGGATGTTGTCGAGGGGTCCAATTTGTTCGCGCCTCCTGCACACCCGCACAGGTTGCATGTTCAGCTTGAGCAAGAGGAGCAGGGGGAGGGGGGAGAAGACGACGAGGTGGTTGATGAGGAGGACTACTCCGGTGCTCACTTGGACACGACAGGAATGGGGGCATACCAGGGTGGAGCGTTTCAGGCGGCATCACACACCCATCTTGCTACGACAAACCCAAGTGCAGATACGACAGCCACAATGAGCATGAGAAATATTGATAATGGCACCCCTCCCATCCAGGAGAATGAACAAAGCGAGGAATGGACCACTCTACAAGGAGTATACAATAAAGAAGCGATTTTCCAACCCGGTTGCTGCAACGTGATGAGTGAGGAAGAAAACCATGTAACGTCAAAAGGATGTTCAGCTCATGTGTCTTCAAATTCATGCTCCACGCAAAACGTGTCCTCCCTCCTTTCGTTATACTACCTCTCTGAAAATATCCTGAAATTTCAAAAGGGAACCATCAAGTGTATTCTGCAAGACCTCAGAGACAACTGCCTTTCCAATCTGGCCTACGACATTCAAAATATAACCTTTCAGGAGTATTACATGGCCATACATTACCTGAACAGGTATGTGGAGGACTCCAACTGCTACGATGATATTTTTTTTCTGTTGAAAATTTTAGCCAAAAATTTGGAAATTCGAAAAATTCCTAGCTTGTATAATGAAGAGGAGCAGAAGGAGTTGCTAAACTCCCTGACCGTTATCACCAAACAGATGAAGAGCGGCTACTCGTACTTCACCCCGGACCCTGTCAGGAGTTCCAGTGACGGAGGGGACACGGCATCCGGCATGTCGCCCTCCGACCGCTTCTCCGTCATATTCCAGTAGGCGCGTGATTAGCGGCGCGAGTAGCTGCGTGAGTGGCGGCGTGAGTGGCGTCGTGATTAACCGCGTCAGTAGCGGCCATGTGACGCTTGCGTCCCTTCAGACAATCTACACATTCCGCACCATCACAACACAGCTTCGTATTTTTGCGCGCCGAGTTCCATTGTGCGATCTCAATTTTTTATTTTTTTTTCGTAACGCGCCGTTCTTTTTTTTTCTCCTTTTTTGCTCCATGAGGGGCACATGTGTTTGCGTGTTTGACATTGCACAAGTAGGTAAATCTACTCGAGCGTATGTTTGTGTGTGCGTATACACACACGTGGGCGGGCTTGCGGCAACAGCCCGGTCGCCCCTTAAACCTCTATTCCAACTTCAGACTAATTCGAATTTTTTTTTTTTTTCAATTTCACACGACGCAGAAGCGGACGTACCGTAAAAGCATCCACCCATCACAACTGGACGGGGGACGGAACCCTCTCTAACACGATTCATTGTATGCGGGGTGGTTTCCCAACTTAAGAAAACCAAAATGCAAAAATGGTTAGCTTGACAAATTGAGTTAAAATTGAACACATGGGGGTTGAAAAAAAAAAAAAAAAAAAATGAAACGAAAACGAAACGAAACGAAATGGGGATTAAAAAGGAACATGTACGACGTGAGGTCATTCTCTTTAAAAAGGTCAAGTGACATGCGGGATGGGTTAAAAAAAAAAAAAAAAAAAAAAAAGCGGTACGGTTCGGCGGCGCCAATACCCGCGCCTACATAAAGACACACATAAAACTGGAGAACCACCAACAGTAACGGGAAAGAAAAGTAGAGGCGCTTCATCTTTTTTTTTTCATTTTTTATGAAGTGTAAACAATTAATTTAAAGTAGGGTTACTGCTTTGGGGTGCAAAATTGACACGGCAAATGGTTGAAATGGGATACACGGCTGGCTTCTGGAAGTGGGGGCGAATTGGTCGGGAGGGGAGCAAGTTAACAGGATGGCACTGAAAATGGACTGTGGGGGCCTCTGCATGGGGAATGCAGACAGCAATTAATTAAAAGGAGAAAGCGGCAAACGCAAGGGAGGGGAAACACGCTAGGGAAAAAAAGGGGGAGACCGCCCCACAGTAAAACACAGGGGAATTAAGCAGCCTCCCGTGCAAACGTTCAAAAATTTTCAACAAGGGGTTTCTTCACATTAGGGGGGGGGAAGTGTGTGTGTGTATATATACTAATGCTGTAAGTAGCGGTTGGGCTGTCTTCATTCTTCTGCTCACAAATGGGATATAAATGAGACTCTACATCCTAACCACCTAGTTGTAGTAACTCGCGTTGGCCATGCGAATGGCTTCCTCTTCAGCCAAATTTCTCTCCTCTGCTACACCCGTAAAGGTCTCATTCTTGTGGGTATGCAGCTGGTAAAACAGCAGGTAGGCGTTTTTAGTGTTGATCTGTGATTCGTCAATGGTGGTCACATAGGTATCATTGAAATTGTACCACTGGCCGTTGAGTTTCACATACGCAAAGTAGTGCCCCCCACACAGACCACCCGTGTGACAATTAACTCCAATTAATTCATACAAAGGGGAATAACCAGGGTCCATTTTTGTCATGTGCTTTAAACCATCTTCCAGAATGTATGGAGTCATATTCAAGTATTCATTTTCCTTATGAGGGTAGTAAACATACGAGTCGATCTTTGTCCTCAACCACCTATTCGTATTGTTAAATCTTTTCAAGTGTAGAATGAGAATGATGGGCATTCGAAATAGGTCCAATTTTTTATAAGCTTGTACGTGGAGTTTGCAATTGCCACAATACCAGGTGTTATTCTCATCTAGGTGCTCCTCCTCTGAAAATAATTTCAAACAAGTGTCAATGCCATAACGTTCCTCCAAGTCGACAAAGGTGATAGTCTTTATGTCGAGGGATAATTCATACTCTATGTCCCCACTGTACAGGTGTATAATTATGAGTCGCTTTTCTTCAGAATTTTTTATATAATCTGAGAGGTACGTTTCATCTCTTTTGAGTTCGAGCCCCAGGGTATCCTTGGACATGCACTCTTCTTTCACGTTATAGCTGGACAGATGCAGAGTGAACCTGTTGGTGCCGTCATCCTCTGCGCCAACTTCGCTTGGGCTTGCGTTCTCCTCCAACACACGGTCATACTCACTTGTGATGGCTTTATTCGCCACGTCGCTACTCGATATGTTATCCTTCTTAGCACTTTCCTCATCTCCTCCACTTTTTGCATTCGCATTATGTGTGTACAGTTCTCCGTACGGGCTGGTAACATCTGCTTGATTAGTAACCTTGGTGGACGTGGTGGGGACGGTCCCCTTAGGCGCCCTACTAATCGCGTGATTTTTCTGGTAGGCATTTTCTACCTTGCCGTACAGGTCATTTAGCGTAAAATTGAAGGGGACATTAAAGAGGAGGGGCAAATCATTATTTTTCATTTTATAAAAAAGTTGCTCATCTTTACACACAGGTACTATCAAGAGGGAGAAGTACTTGTCGTGTAAATTGTAAACATCTTGGTTAAACATAATTCGGTCTTTAAAAAGTTCATTGTAGGAAATGTGTTGTTCGCAGTGGGTCCTGCTCTTGCTTATCCCATTAGAATCATTTAAAGGTGTCTCTGAGGATGCCTCCTCTTGCATGTTAATATCGTTTGACTCTTCCATTTGTTCTTCATATTGCTCTACTGCGCTGTTGTTAGCATTTCCATTCGATCCCCCTGCGGTGGATGTTAAGGGATTGACCTCTTCATCTTCTTCCTCCTCTGCCCCGCAAGGGTGCATTTTCTCTCCTTTCCGCACAGGACTACCACCATTACTATTGCAGCAACTCAGCAGACCCTTTCTCTTTTTAAGAATTTTGCTAGAGTGATTATTGTTCTTCTCCTTAAGCGATTTCTTCTCAACGATATTGTTATTGCTGGTTTCATTCTTCACATTCATCTCTTCATCCTTAAGACTGGTGTTGTTCGTGGTGACGGTCGAATTGGTAAGCACCTCCAAACATTCATCTCCTACCTTAACTTCTCCATTTTTATCAACCAGGTGAGAATAAAACTTAGGGACCATAAAAACGAATATGTGACTTATCCCTTTTCCATTTCTTGTATGAGGTTCGGTTACAAAATCGGAGTTATTTAAGACATGAAAAAACTGATTACATGCAAGATTTTTAAATTTGGTAAAAAGAAAACTTAAATTATTAACCTCTAACTCTTCAATCGATGGTATATTACACATGGCGCAAATGCTCTCATACAAGGTAGAAATTTCTTGCTCCTTCAAAGTGTTTTTTATTTTACTTTTGTTTTTTATTGCCCTCACGTAATTTGCAATATCGGCATTGGTGCAGTTGTGTTCATTATCTTCGTAAAATTCATTTTTATCATCTAAATATTTATAATGAAAATTGAAGGCGTTATAACTGGTGCTGTCCGCTCCCCCCAGGCAGTTGCCGCTACTACTACCAGCGGCAGCTACATTCGCATGGCTGTTACTTCTTCCCTCATGCGAACCCTCTTTGCTATTTTGAATTATACACTTATTATGAAGTAAAATATTCTTCCTTTTCACTTTTAAATTTTTTATTATGGTCAAAAAAATTTTTTTCAATTTTAAGACCTCCTGTGAACCACTAAAGGAGCAGGAAAATCTCATGCCTATGGGAGCATCCCGAGTTAGAATGACGTGGAACCAAATGCGGTGATTCTTTTTAGGTGGTAAGGGAATTGACAAATACATAAAAGGATCAAATGCTATACTAACTTTTTTACAATTAGGGCATTGTAAGCGAGATCTGTACTGTCCTTGGAACAGGTCCACAATAATGGAGTTATTAATTTCTTTGTGCCTATTCCACGACGCTTCAGCAACATCTATATCTCGTTTATCTAACCCTCCTTGTAATTTCTCTTCATAGTAGGGCTTCTTCTGTATTAGGTTCAAATCTTCATGGAGCCCATCAAGCAGGAAGGCTAATAATTCTTGTGAATCGTGTTGTTGGTACCCATAAAACTCATCCCTCTTTTCACTTATGGCTTGTTTTAATGCCTTTGGGGCGTACGGTTCGCTTCTCTTATTTACCTTCCACAGCTCTAATAACGTTTCATAATACGCTTTAGCTAGCCGCCCATGTTGACCCACTGGGTTCGAGTAATTTATGTGACCCCAAAAAGTCCCACTTAGGAAGTAGTTGGAAAATTTTTTTATTTTCGCTAAGCATTGCAGGGAGGAATTCAAGAAGCATGTATTTCCCAAGTTGATCAAACCTCTATCCCCCCCATGCTCAAATATGTAACTTATTTGCTTCACCATGCTGTCTTCAGAGGGGTACCCCTGGGTGTATGCCTGGCCCTGGGTAGTACTACTATTACTACCATACCCTCCAGTGCGTCCACTGGAGTAACCCCTCATACAGTCTTCCTCCTTCTCAGATCTCCTGAAACTAGCCTCCCGTCTCGTGTACCCATAGTCGCTTTCATTCGTCAGGCACTTTATGTCTGCTCGCTCATTTGTTATTAACAAACAGGTCCTTTCATCAATGTCATACTCGTGCATCTTTTTCTTTAGGGGGTACTCCGTTGAATCGTGCAGGTAGAGACGCTCCCAGTTGTACTCCCTCTGGCCGCTTATCTCTTCTGCGTAGAATAGGTTCTTCTTGAAGCTCGTCGGGTCGAAGTCGGTAACGATCTGCGTGGGGAGCGGGGAAAAGAAGCAATTGTGTAGTGACGCAATTGGGTAGTGACGCAATTGTGTAGGGAAGCGGGTGTGACGTGCAGCAGGCTCACCCCCCGCGCTGCTACAACACGCGCCTTACCTCCTTCAGTACGTCCTCCACCGTGTCGTTGCGCAGGAAGACGATCTTCATCTTGGCAGGGTTGCTGAAGTCGTTGGGGTTCTTCGAGTACACCACAACTTTGAGCGGCTGGATGTCTACCTTATAAATTACTCTCTCACTGTTAGGAATTTTATAAGGGTAAACTGCTCGCGGGATTTTTAGGTTAAATTGAAAATGCTTTTCCAGCACCTCTATGGCCTTCTCTGGGTAGAGGAGGAAGTTGACTCCGTTGCCATTTTCGTAATCTTTAAGCAGCCTCGTCCTCGTGGTGACGTTACTCGCATCCTCCACAAATATCTTGTTGTTGATGAGAGTGTGGTACCGACTCGCCTTCCCTTCTTCGTAGCTCCTCAGGCTGTCTATGAATTCTTTGTTCACGATGTGCCTGCGGGGTGGGGGGCAAAAAAAAAAAAAAAAAAAATTATAAAAAAAAAATTAATAATAAATGCATCTCGTCTACCCACTCAGCGACGCAAAATAACGTCACGCAAAATAACGTCACGCACAATAACATCACGCACAAAATAAAGCCACGCAAAATAACGCCATGCACTAACCATGTCTCATTTTCTCCCTTTGGGTCGCAGGGCAGATTATCAAACAGCTTAAACAAATTCAAAATTTGAATCTTATCAAGGGTTAAGTTTTTGCTGGGCGAATTGGACGTGACGGGAGAATCCATTTTGTGCAAAATTGGAAGGAAAAAAAAAAAAATGATGGTATAGGTAGGGTGGGGGGACTTGTCCCTCCTCTGTGTGTGCTGGAGACCAACACAACAGCTACTTGTCACATGCCTGCATAATGAGGCTGCTCCACTCACGGCCTTCTTTCCACGGCCTCGATGTCACGTCCTCGTCACGGCCCTTATGTAACGGCCTTGTTGCCACCCCCTCGCTGCTACAACAGTGTGGTATTTTTAATTTAAACAAAAATACATCCACATGTAATGCAAACACCACGCTGGAAAAAAAAAAAAAAAAAAAAAAAAAAAGGGGAAGGCTCGGGTAAACGGGCTGCGTTGATGCTGTGCCCAAATTGCTACAACCCCTACACGCTAAGCCTTGCTCTAAGCCTCACGTCAAAGTGACTCCTGGGACAAGAAGGCCTGAAACAAATGCAGCGTAAAATAAAATCAAATGGAAATCAACGACAAGCCAACAACAAATCAGCAGGGAAATAATAGAAGGCCGGAAATGGAAAAAAAAAACCCTCTGAGCAATTCGTCGCACTTCACGCTTCATATTACCCAATGCGTGGTTTTCATTTCGCTTTTGTAAAAAAAAAAAAAAAAAAAATTGAATTATCATATTATCCTTCGCACCGAGCCCCCGGGCACAGAGAGAAGAGTACGCGCTCAAAAAATTCACATACAAAATTTATATATAATATAATATATATATATATATATATATATATATATATACCATACATATGAGAGTACGCGCATTTAGGCCCATTATATGCGCACCTTTCGCGCGCATATGTACACTTGCGCCCGTTGCCCGTTTGGCGTTCCGACACGCAGTTGATTCATTGAAGCCTGCGTGGCACACGCGGCGAAAATTCAGTCAGCCGATTCGCGCATTCGCCTATTGGTAGTTTTTGTCAATTTATACACTTTTTCCTTTTCCCCACTTTTTTTTTTTTTTTTTTTTTTGCCTTTTTTTATTTCATTTTACTGCCCGAGCTATCTTTTTTTTTTTTTTTTTTTTGCCTTTTTGTCCCTGCCTATATCTCCCTGCGACAACAAATGCGCTGTACCTCCCTGCCTGCAGCATTCAATGCTTATTTTATTTTATTTTTTTTTTTCCCGCCAAAAAAAAAGGGGGAACACAATATAATGCCATAAAAGAAAAATATGAGGTTCTTAGGAAGGGCTAAAATATTTCTATGTTGAGGTGTTAAACGTGATTACGCTTAAAATGGAAAAAAAAAAAAGGTGTGTCACTTTTGAAGCCTTGCGTTTTGTTATTTTATTTTTTTTTTTTTTTCATTTTTTTGGGGGGGGACTTTGTGAAATTCACCGTTGTGGCTTTTAACGATGTTTGTGACCATTCCCCTGGTGTTCCCAGAGTAGCAGCCACCAGTTCAGTGTGTCGCATGGCAGCTTGTTTAATTCTTACTCATTTGGGGTCCTGGCTCATCGTGGCTGCGTTTCCTCTTTTCCGTGTACGAATTATTTCAAGCGCGTAGTACACCAGTTCTCCATACCGGTGTAGTTTGGCAAATGGAATCCACCCTCCCAATCGCATTCTCAAGTGTGCCCAGGAAAAATAAAACGCACAAGTATTCACAAAGCTACATAAGTAACGTAATTATAATGGGAGGAAAATTTACTTTTGTCCGGTCCAATCCTTGCTCGACCACAGTTGGGCATTTCCACACACGCACCCCAAGTAGATTCACCATCTCAGGGTGTAAGCAAATTTTATAGCACAGCAGCGTCGTAAAGAGGCAGTTCCACAATTGGGGGAATTTTTTTTTTTTTTTTTCTCCTCACGGGGGGGGTGACATTTTCTCGTTGGTTACGTCTCCATTTTGATGGGGATTTCCTTTTTTTTTTTTTTTTTTTTTTTTTTTAAACTACACCGTTTTGGCTATTTTGTCCCCCCCGCGGAGTGCCCAGGTATGGCAGTTGGCCCATGTACGACGTAACGCAAAAATATATCACTCTGCTTCAAGCAATTTGGTAAATATAAAAACTGCCAACGGTGTGGCCATTTTATTTGACGGAGATGTACTCGCGGAGGACGTGTAGCACATGGGCTTTTTACCCATCTGTCGAGTGTTTTCCTTTTTTTTTAATTTTTTTTTTTTGGTGTATACACCTGTGCGTAGTATGTTTGCAGAGGGAGGACCCTGCCTTGCTTAAGCGTAACCATTTCGGGGCGCGTGGGAAAATGCGGGGACAGGCTTCCACTCCCTCCAGGTCATTCTGCAGCCAACTCGAGGGGAACATGCGAGCGCACGCTGAGACGAGAAAGGTGAGCATCGGGAGGTGACCTGGTTAATGTATCCCTGCCACGGTCACCGCGAAGAGAAACCCGGAAAACCCCCAATGACCATTTGACAATGTTTGACCGCCCAACACTCAGTGATGTTCGGCGGCTGGTCCCTTGCACCAACCATATTACTCACCTTACTTTATACCTTTCTGTGCGCGAACCCCAACTGCTGCTACGCTTATAAGTTACCCACTGGTAAAGTCATCACGTGGGTATTTAACCCATGTGTGCACTTAAGACAAAGGAAAAGTTCCCTCGTTCGAGGGAACTACCATGATCGAGATAATATCGTGGCAGCTAAAAGGACAGTTACCATTTATAATGAAGATATACATGAGAGAGTTGACCTCTTGGGTTTCCCATCGAGGTGGAGTAAACATGGTGGTGTTAATACGGCACGTAGTTTTGGCCAAGGGGCAGCGGTGACAAAGACGAAATGGAAGAATGGAAACACCATCTTGGGAAGTGTGAGAAAAAAAAAAAATACACAGCTGTGCCTGTTTAGGAGTGATCCTGGTGAATGTCCATCCATCGGGCGGAAGACCAGGGGAGGCAACTCCGCCATCTGTGCGAGGCCACGCAAAAAAGTCGAGCGCAACAACAAGGAGGAAGAAGAAGAAGGAGGAGGAGGAGGAAAAAATGAAAACGTTACAGGTGCAGAAGTAATAACTGCCGTAGTAACTGCCCCGGGGAAAAACCACAAAAAGGGCAACAACATCAAAGTGAAAGACGAAAAAAAAAAAAAAGAAAATTTGCCACACACCCATGGAGAGCAGTTCACTGGGGTAGCTGCCCCTTTAGAGAAAAAGGAAACGAAGAGGGGGAAAGGCGTCGCGAAAGTGGGGAGCAAGTTAATACGTGATGAGGTCAATCATTCGAGGGAGCCACTCACAAATGATTTGATTAGAAAAAGCACCAACCAAATGAGGAGTAAACAAAGGTTCAAGTATGAACCCCTGTCCACCATTGATCATGCGAATGGTCACAGCGCATACGGGCAAACCGCACCAGCGTCGTATTACAAAAAAGGGGGAAGCGAAAAAGAGGCACATTACAAAGACGATCGACGGGATAACGACGTCACGCATGCATACAAATACCAAGCCCTCCCACTTGAGACCCATTCTAATTTGATGAAACCCCCCGAGGGAGATGCACCGAGTGAAGACGTCGTCGGGAAGACCTTAGAAGGGGAAGTGTACTCAGTGAGTCCAAACGCAGTTCTAGTCAAAATAAAAAATACAAACCAATTTGGAATGCTTTTTAAAAAGAGATGTAACTTTGGAGACGACGTTAATGATCTTAATGAGTACTTCAAAGTGAAGCAAAAAATTTTTGTAAAAATTTTAGGCATAAATGTTAAAAAAAAATTGTACTACCTAGCTAACGTGATTAAATATAATGCAGATGTGAAATTGAAAAAGGGGGACACGTCCAAGGGGCTCATCACAAAATTGTGTGATTCATACGTATTTGTTAAGGTTCTGAAGAATGGAAGCACTGGGTATCTGCACAAGTCCAAGCTGTTTCCCCCATCAGGCCCCCATGCGGAGGAGCGGCAAATGGAGGGGCGGCAACAGGGGAGACATAACAACGCGTGGAACGCCTTATTAAAAATGGCACAATTTACACAACTCTTTAAAATATGGGATATAATAGACGTGGAAATTTATGAAAAACCTGATGTGAATTTTAAATCAAATTATATATTAACCATTCCAGAGGACTCCAAAACATTTGAACAGGTGCTCTCCTATTTCGATTCCTTGTCGGAGGCACGTCCGCTCGAGGAGGAGGAAGAAGTGAAGCAGACAGCGGAGAGTGACCCATTTGTGAATCAAGGAGAGAGTATCCCGTTGGAGGATGCCTCCCATGGGGATGCAGTCAATCACAGGAGGAGGAGAAGTAGGACGAATCACTCACGGGAGGCACATCATACGGATGCAACTCGTGACGAACAGAAGAATATCCCCCCACGTGGGTACACTTTTTTAAAAAAAAATAAAGAGGCACTCCATAAGGAGAGAGCATCCACGAAGATGTGCCGGGTACCAGAAAATGCAAGCCTGTCTGTATTTGCACGAATGACGAAAATATCCTTGTCTGCTTTGAAAAAATTTTTTATAATAAATGAGAGTAGGGAGTACCATTCGGGTCATGCACTCAGTGCGGAGCAGATGAAAAAAGCGAGTGACCATTTTAACGTTAGCTGCGTCATCGACGTTGGGGAGGGGCCCAAATTGGACGCCCACAAGGTGGAAGCGGTTAGGCAAGCTGTTTTGCCAAAGGAGGAAAGCGGCCGTGGAGATGCTTCTCTGCAAAACTCATCTCTGAAGGCATACAAGACGGAAGAGGAGAAAGTTCAAACCGATGTGCAGGCAAAACCAAGTGGGAAAATCAAATTGGAGCTAAACAATGGCCATGTGGAAAATAAGCCACGTATTGCCTCCCCCCCAGAAGAACAAAAACAGAAATGTAAAAAGAGAAACCTTGTGGTGACCTTCATTGGGCATATCAACCACGGGAAAACGTCCCTGTTCGATTACATATGTAAAACGAAGGAAAGGGAAAAGGAAAAGGGACTCATAACTCAAAATATAAGAGCGTTCAAAGTGAAATCGCAAAGCAATGACTTCACATTTACACTGATTGACACCCCAGGACATGAAGCTTTTATGCCAATTCGAAGCAGAGGAGTGAAAATATCCGATCTGAGCATACTAGTAATATCGGGAGAGGAAGGTATACAAGAGCAGACAGTGGAGTGTATTAAATTAATTAAAGAACATCACATGCGAATTATAATTGCAGTTACCAAGATGGACTTACCCAACGTGTCCGTTGATCGTATTGTTAATGATCTTCTGCATCACGAAATTTATACTGAAATGAATGGTGGGGATGTGCAGGTGGTTCCTTGTTCCATTTTTAATGAAGACTCGCTAGATAAGCTGGTCGATGCCATATATTTGGAGTCAGCCTTTTTGGACTTACCATTAGAGGAGGAGAGTAGTAAATATGCACAAGGAGTTATCCTCGATTCTTACATTGACAGGAATGGGATCGTGTCGATCAATTTAGTTCAGAGTGGAACCCTCAGAGTGAATGATTATTTCTACACAGGGTCCTCCTATGGTAAGGTCAAAATGTTGAAGGATCACCTCAACAAGAAGGTAAATTCTGCATGCGCCTCTGACCCAGTGATGGTGATAGGGTACGAAAAGAATTCCGTGCCTGTCGCTGGAGACAAATTTTACATTGTGCAGAATGAGGCAGTTGCGGAAGAAATCGCGCAACACCATAAAAGTGAATTGCTCACTTCACAAATGAGGGGGTTCAGCTACGGGCAGGAGGAGGGAAGTTTTGATCGCTACAGAGAGTATATCATTAAGGAGGGCGCCCTTAGCCCGGATGAGGAATCAAGGCAGAACAATACACAGTTGGAAGAGGGCACAAACGGGGGAGACTTCCCTGCACAGGACGATGAGGTGGGAGAGACCCCCCCACAGGGACGAAGCAATGAAAAGGAGGGTAACCTGCTTGGACAAAAAGACCTCAAAACGGTATACGTGAATTACTTCCTCAAATGTGATAAGCAGGGGACGATTGATGTGTTAAAAAATGGCCTCCTGAATTTAGAAGTGAAGGATACACTACACAGAGTTCGAAACAAAATTGTTTACGCCAGCATTGGAGACGTCACCGCCAGTGACATTACTTATGCTCAAAGTTTCAACGCGATCATTGTTGGCTTCAATGTTAAGCTGTCTAAGAGCTGCCCCAAAAATGCAAAGCATTTGCTTAGCGCCGCAAAATCTGCGTCTCGAATTATTTATGTGAATGTTCTGTACGATCTGATTGAACAGGTGGAAAATGTGATGAAGGACAAATTGAGTTCCAAGCCGAGGGGTATGTACAAAGGTCAGGCAACCATTTTAAAAGTTTTTAATGTCTCCAAGCTGGGCAAGGTGGCTGGGTGTGTCGTCAAGAGTGGTACTGTTAACATCAACAGCAATGTGAGGATTTTGAGGAACGACCAAGTCATTCACATTGGAAAAATCGTGTCGCTGAAAATTGCCAAGGAGGAGAAGGAGCAAGTTAAGCAGGGCGATGAGTGCGGCATGGGATTTGAGAATTTTGTGGACTTTCTCCCGGGGGACACGGTGGAGTCGTACGAGGAGTAGGCCCTACTTGCAGCCCCATTTGCGGCTCACCATGCAGAGGTAAAGCCCCAACAGCATAGTGCTCCCGTGGGAGCTGTACCGGCTTGTCTACCTCTCTCTCTCTTTATTTATTTATTTTTTTGTCCTCCTTCCGTGTGTATAAGGGAGGAGCCCGGTATGCGTGTGGCTAATTGTATCCCATCAGCCGCAGACACATGTGCACTTAATTGCTCATTTGTCAACCGTGTCACTATTTTTTTTTTTTTTACAACGCCCAAGGGTCTACCTTTGCAACCGCTTTTTATTAAGACAAAACTCTTTGTTCGTTTATAAGAGAATGACATTTTTTTTTTTTTTTCCACATGCAGAAGCAAAAAAAAAAAAAAAAAAAAAAAAAAAAAAATACTTCATGGAGCAAATTAAAAAAAATTGCCATATGTATTCTTCGTAGCATTGCTTAGGAGACACAAATGTGTATGCGCAAAAAACAGTTAACAAGGTCCGTGTGTTGTGAGAAGCGGTAGGTGCATATTGTACCCGTTACGCTAATTCAATTGTTATGTGTGTTTTTTTTTTTTATTAGGCCATCTTGACGGTGGAAAACAGAGTTTCCGTGCTATCATTGTCCTCGTTAAAAATTTGAAGTGTGAATTTGTCCAGGGCGAAAATGTAGGTGGTGATGACTAGGCAGATGAGGGCGCAGAGTAACCTGAGGTGATGGGGGGCAGGTATATAGACACCATCATGAATGGGGACAAAAAAACAATACAAACGTTTCGCAGGGAACACACATCACATATAATACATATAATAACCCGCACGTGTTGAAAAAAAATATGTCCCATCTCGAATTGTCCATTTTTGTTAACGGTTATGTTTGTGATGATTTACCAGTAGAGGCCTAGGCCCAAGGCGACGTAAGACTTGAAGGCCAAATATGGAGCCACGATGGTGACCGCATAAAAAATTGAAGTGTTCAAACCAATAGCAGTTCCCAACTCAGATTCCTCAACCCTCTTCGTCATTTGACTCGTCCCACATATATATAACAAGGCCCCTCCACAAAGAGGAATGGACATAAAAATGAGGACCAGATATTCATTTGCCCCACATAAAGAGAGGGATAAAAACCCAGCCAACGTTAAAGGTATAGAAAATTTGCAGCAAGTCATATCTCCTAGGATGGAACTCAAATAAGGTGCAAATAGACCCTCCGCTATAATCGTTAACAGTCCTGCGTATGTCATTAGGTATGATGTGTGAGATGGGGTCAGTTTAAACATATCAACTACAACAGGGGCAAAAGCAAATTTGGTCATTAAAATGGGTAGCAGGCCAAACAAAATGAGTAAACACATTCCATACGTCTTCTTAAAAAGATTCAAAATACGCATATATTCATTTTTTATGCTACTAAAAATTTCTCTTATTTTTATTTCCCCCAAGTTAACAGGTCTTAACAGTGTTGGATCCTCACTCAACGTTTTCGCTACATATAAGGCTACTAGTTGTGACCCCAGGGCGATGAACAGGTTGCCTCTTGCACCCACATAATTAACCATGAAACCCGCGGTGAGACTGCCTAGGATAATACCCAAGCCGTAACTCAGATTCAGGTACCCGATGGCCGCCGTCCTGTTTTCGCTGTCTGTCTTTAGGCAAACGAGTAGGGAAGAGGCTTGGAAGGCTTGCATGAAGAAGGACGGCAGGAAAGTCACGTAGTACGCCCAGGTGTCTCTGCACGCGGGGAGCTGCAAGGGGATGGATGAAGATGAACAGGGGGCCGGGTAATGCAGATACATCCCGTCATAGACACTCGGAAGCGACTGCCCCGAGGGAGATGTAACGACTGGAGCGCGTGCGCGCCCCTCACCATGAGGTACATCAGGCTGGAGGAGCACAGGGACAGGTAAAAGGATTTCTTCACTCCCCATCTGCGGAAGGGAGGGCAGGCAACACATGGTCAGGTGTGTCATGGGGCAGAAGCACGCACGTGTGCACGTATCATCGCATGCGCGCGCGCCCCTCGACGGGAGCTACAAACGTCTCTCATTTTAACATGTCCGCGAGTCTTCCAAAAAACATGGACCCCAAAAATTGGAGTAAAGAGAAAAGGGTCAAGAGGTATCCATTGTGTTCTATGCCGGCGTTGGAGCTGATCAGCTGCGTGTTTTTGTTCGATGGGTGTAGGGGGGTGAGCATGTGCAGGTGTGCGTGTTGCATGTTAATGGGGGGGGGGGGCAGCTACACTGTTCTAATCACGCATGAGGACACGTTTTCCCTCCAACGAAACACATGCTTTTACTCACCATGTAGGGTAGCATGGCAATTTGTATTGTATAACCAATCCCGTAGAGCACGTTTATCAAATGAGCTTTACCTGTAGAGGGGGGGGGGGGGTGTAAGGGTCACCATTTTAGGGTCACCCAAGGGGGGAGGATATACCAATGCGAGAGTTGCTTGTAATTTCCACCCGATGTATGCCGCGCCAGAACGGTTGGACCACCCAGTTGCTTTTACCAATTGATGAGAAGAAAAACTTCTTTTCCCCCGGGATGACGTCAGATGGGTCGCCTGCGACATGGTCCCCTTTGTCTAGCAGGGTGGAAGTGACGTCCATTTTTTCGAGTTGGGTTTTTTGTTACGTAAGTGGGGTGGAGCGATGTGCAGAGAGGGAACAGAAGTTGCGCGAGGAAGCAGTCAATTTTCTAAGCGATATGAAAGAGCACACCGACAAGACAGTCACTTTGGACGAGGAGAGAGGATGGACAATATGCGAACGTGTTTATAATTTCCTATTGTAGGGGAATTTTTTTTTTTTTTTTTAAATTTACCAATGAACGTATGGCCTCACTAGACGATTGAAGAAATGATGTAACGCACGTCTACAGTGGCGTGGTTTTCCTGAACCATATTTTGTCCTTTTAAAAAAAAAAAAAAGGCAGAAGAGGTGTACGTACTCCAGGGGGCGGTCGCCATGAAGTTCACTTTAAGTCGCATAATTTTTTTTGGCGACGCTTCGTACCCTGTCTGCCTGCGTTGGGTTGAAGGAGGAACCGTTGACAGTGGGTCGAACAAGGGAGACAGTCTGAACAAGGGGCATGTGTGACCACCGGGGGGACGACGCAAAAGAGGGAATGAAGATGCGGGAGAACACTTTTCCATCCCTTCTGCCTCCTCCACCCCCAACTCACAGTGCACTGCGTAGGGACGCGCCATACCAAAAGGCCATATGGACGCATAAAACGGGGGAAGTGCTTCCTCCAGGGCGTGGGGAAATAAATTAAAACGCCAAGAGGTGAGCAAAAAATGGGGGACTATTATAAATACCCACTCGTACAGCACATACACCTGGTCTTTTCATGTTCATGCGATTATGTTATGAAGGTTACCCCTTGGCCAGTCGGATTTCCCCCCTTGGGCATTTTTTTTTTTTTTTTTTTTTTTTTTTTTTTTTCATTCCCCATTTGGTAAATTAATTGAGATGAATTTAAAAAAGTTGATTTGTAAGTTTTCTTCCCATCTGCAATGGAGTAGCATTTTGCGACATGATGGTGCCCCCCCCCCCCCCGTAATTTTGTGCTCATCAGATTTTACTGCGTCGCCTTGTGCAGCATTGTGTGGGGGGGTCACTTGGTGCGCTCGCCGCACCCACCTGCGGTAGATACGCTCCTCGTTCTTTGGACTTTTTTGGAAAGTTGAACTTGCGGTGACGTCACAATATTATGTTCGTCACTTTTTTGTCACTTTTTCGCTAGTTCCTTGTGACTGTTTTTTTTTTTTTTTTTTTTTTTTTTTTTGTTCCCCCCATCGCGGTGTACCAAGAACAAGAGGGTAATTTCCAGCCATGTCATTTTCCTCAGTCGATCAAGTGAGGTGGGGGAGATGTTCCGCGTGGCACAGTTGCTGCGTCGTTTCACTTGACAACCAGTATGGGTACCGACTGGATGAAACAGCGCATCCAATCACGTAAAATATATATACGTATATATATATTTTTTTTATGTGTTGGCAGTACTAACGTGTAGGCGGCGCTTGCCCCCTTCGCTTCCTTTAGCTTCCGTTCCCTTCCATTCCCCATTTGTGCCTTCCTCCTTTTGCTACGAACCCCTGACAACGTCCGTAGAAGCGCCACACCCACTGCAGGAACACCATGTCGACCACCAACCCCACGAGGGAAACCACCGAGTGGGATGACCTGCAAAGGAAGTATGGAAATTTGCCCCCACTGGAGAAGGAAGTAAAGGAGGAAGAAATATATCTCAGTACATTGGATAAGCTCGAGAGAATTAACCCCCTAGAGAAAAAGAACCTGCAGGAGCTGACGTTGTTAGAGGAGAGTTGTGTTGACGAGGAGTACCTGAAAATTGTTGAAAGGTACAAAGCGAATCGCATGAAAGAAATAAATAAAAGTAGAGCGCTGGATGTGTTTGGAGAAGTGTACGAAATTTCCAAAGACAATTTTCTCGCCGAAGTTAATGAAGCCAGTAGGAGGAACCCCCTGGCTGAGCATGGCGGCCGCTCGCTGGAAAGCACACGGGGCGATGAGGAGGATTTAGAACAGGACGAACAAGAAGCTGCACCGGCAGAACGGGCAGACGCCGCAAACGGCACGCACGTCGTCATCCACCTCTACTCCGACAACGTTGTCGCATGCAGAGTTATAAATAACATCCTAAGTCAAATGGCTAAAAAATACAAGTACGTTAAATTCACCAAGGGGGTGTATACTAGAATAATTCAAAATTATCCCGAGTCCAAACTTCCTACTCTGCTCATATATTACAATGGTACATGCATACACCAAATCTGTAACCTACTCAGCAGCATAAAAGGAGGAGTAAATAATTTATCTGTGAAAAATTTTGAGCAATTTTTAGCCAAGTATAATATTTTCAGGTCCCCCTCCAGTTGGATGCACAGTGGTCAGAGTGTTAGTGATCACACGGCTCATTCAAGTGATGCGGACAGTGAGGATGGAGGTCGATATGCTAACAAGGGCAATCGCGTTAGAACAAATAAACAGTATACCTCTTTTAATATGTTTCGTACAAAGCACACAAGTGGCGACTACTCCTCTGATGATGCGGGGGTGAAGTCCAGGGGTTATGCGTCCTCCATGCTGGACCGCAAGGTTAGTCAAAACGAGTTATAAAAAGGGGGGCAAAGGGCACTCCATTTTCGCCCGCCTACATTTTTTTTCCAAATTTTTTCCATATTTTTTTTTTTTTTTGTTACAAATTGGGTGTAGTTTCATATGGAAGACGGGGGGGGGGAAGACACACGCACGCGCGCCTCGGCTACTATATAACACGACGTGCACTTCCCCACCTTGCACTCAACAAACATAAAAAGAAGCAACAAAATCAGACAAAAAAAAAAAAATGAGACAAACACATGGCGCCAAATGGGCACACATAAAATATGTATATATGCCCCCTTTAACGCGACAGCAGCGCCGCGGAAACCTGTTGCTGGATGGCGGGGGGGAATAAAATTTTGGTCAGGCAGAGTCCCTGTGCAGGGGCACACAGTTTCACCTTGAGTGGCTTGCTACTATGAAGAGCGTCCCGCACGTCTTCATACTTCAACAGTCCGACTCCCACCTGAACCAGAGTCCCCACGATTATCCTGATCATGTGGTAGAGGAACCTATCCCCCTGGATTACAAATTGGTAAATGTTATTCCTTACTTGGTGCAACCCGACAAAGTAGATGTTGCAAAATGGGTTCACCACCTTCTGCTTCTCCGTCCCCTTCAACGTCCCGCGAAAGGAATCAAAGTTGTGGTGTCCAATGAACAGCTTGCAGCAGGCCTTGACTTTCTCCATGTCACAGGGGATGGTTGGGTTGCCCCCCCCTTCGCGGTTGATAATGCGCATGCAGTGGGAGACGTCCGGTTGGGTTGGCGGTGTGGTCGCTGCACCTCCCTGCACAGCGTGGTCGCCAAAAAAAGGGACATCTACATTCTCGTCCACACAGTCAGCGGGGCCTATCCCACTGGGAAACTCATTTGTCGTTACGCAGTTATCGTGGCCGTGGCTGCCATGCTGTATGGCTTCCCCCAGTTGGTCTTTTTTTTTTTTTTTTTTTTTTTTTTTCGAATTATTCCGAAGCAGAAATGCAAACCTCGGGTCGTCATACAACTGCCATGCGTAATTCCTCTCCAAAGGCTGACTCGGAATTCGAATGTCAAAATTGTAAGTGTAAATTTTGCCCCAATTATTAAACCTTACATTAAAGTCGGGGAAAGGTGCATTTAAAACACCTAAAATTCGAATGTCCTTATTTAGTAAGCCATTTAAGGCCATTTTAATTTTATTCAAATTACCATCACAAGGGGGGGGCCTCTCATAAGACACATACTGACACACATACTCCTTCGCGTGGACTCCCTTGTCAGTTCTACTGACCCCTATAAATTCGAAGGCCTTCACATGGGGCTCCACATGGGACTGCACATCGGTCTTCACATCGGCCTTCACATCGCCCTTCAAATCGGCCTCCACATCGCCCTTCAAATCGGCCTCTACATCGTCCCCTCTGCGCAATTCATTTCCATAACCATGAATTTTTAACATACAATTTAAGATGCTATTTTGTACTGTGTCATATTTGGACTCTGCTCCATTTAGCTTCTTCTTTTGCGCGGCTGCATGTTTGTAATTCCTCGTTGCGCTTAGGTATATATCGCTGCTGTTTTCAACTCCAGTCCACCCGCTATAGTTGGTGCCATCGTAATCAACCACGAGAAGGATATTTGTTAATTTGGGTCGACTTGTAACAGCACCTACCTCCAATGCCTTATTTGTATCAATACTAAACGGTTCTTGCTTGACCACGCTTAGCTCTCCTGGGCTGGTCTCATCACCAACGGTGTGCAAGGCCATTTTGTTCCTTTTCACTCTTATCACACAAAATGATTTGGCTCCTACAAAAAAAGGTCCCCTCCGATTTATCACCTTCACTTTGAAGACCTTTTTCGAGACACTTTTGCTTTCTGTTTTTAAAAGGACACTCAGATAAAGAAGGAACAGGACGGAATTCATATTCGAGTTGACACGACTGACTGTCTTCTTCTATGTCCTCACTCTTGGGGGTGTATTATTCAATCGTTGCGCACGCATGACACTCTACATGTGCTGATGCAGAATGAAGTCTTTACGAACAATTCGAAGTGATACAAAATGGGGAGGTGAGATATGTGGAGGCAAAATTTTGTCCACGTCCCGTTGGATAAAAAAAAAATTTAGGTCACCCTTTGTGGAGCGTGGTGTACACGTTTGCTCGTTTGATCAATCGGAAAAATGTCTCGCGTAGTTTCTCCTATTCCTCATCCATGGAAGCGAGCGCTGAGGACTCAACCCGGGTGGCGTTGCTCAAAGGAGTTCACAGCAATTGAAGAGAATTCTCCCCCCAGACGCATAACTTGCAAAGTGGACCCTCCACCGAAACAATGACCGACGCGCTATATCGGTACAGCTTTACCCGCGTCTGCACACGTGCAATCACTGCCAGGCGATCACTTTATTCTTCCCCAATGAACAATCCGTGTGTACGTTTTTACAAAGTCGACAAATGGTGAGACGGAGACAATAACGGAACGTAAATTTGCATGAATATGTTAACTGTACAGGTGGGATGTGATTACACTTACACCCGACGTTGCGTGTGCATGTAAATGTTTTCCGTCTGCCATCGCTGCTGCAGGGCTGAGTTCAGCTCCTTACAGTCGTTAACTGTTTCGTACCTTTTGCAGCGTTTTTTTTTTTTGTCTCTTTTTTTTTTTTGCACTCCACCCTCCCATCTGCGCATTGTAAGCTGTTTTACTCTCCTTTGCTCTTTTTTATTTTTATTATTTTTTTTCTTTTTTTCCGCTTCTTCCATTCTCTAATATTCACAAATGAAAGGACGACGAAACAAACTACGTACTTGGCCAAAATTATGCAGCCATGTAGGTCCATTATGTTGTTTCCATTTTTTCTGCAGCCCCGCAGTCTGCGTTGCTTTGCATACACGTCGTGGTGGCAGTATCCTGTCCTTCCTCGGGGGCACTACAAAGTTCAGGCGGCAGACCTTGGGGTGTGCTTCCCCTGCTTCAACTCCTTGTGAGGTGATTATTAAAGCGGTTTTTTGTTTTTGGTGTAAACTGGGCAAAAGAACGGTTAACATGGAAGATCAGCAAATTTCGGACTCAAGTATAACCTAATAAAGGCATATCTTTTTAAAAAAAAAAAACTGCCAAGATGGGTTTCTTCACAAAAAAAAATTAAAAAAAAAATGAATAGTTAAAAATTACATTTTTAAAAGAATTGGTGGTTACCCCTTTTTTATAATTGTGCGTATTTTTATATGCAGGTGGGAAGAAAAAAAATGGCTACACGGCGGTGATTTATTTCGCGCTTAGGCAAACGTGGCAAAATGGGTACATTGGTAATGTAGGTAACTTTAGAAGAGGATGGCATATAAATATATAATTTGTTAACCGTTTGGAGGACCCCATCCGCGGTGCACCATACTCCGCAAGGGCACACAAAAAAAATGGTGGTTGCTCTTTTTTTGCGCGACACGACGCCTGTTTATATAAGCTCCTTCTCCACAGTTGGACCCTTTTTGGGGGTAAGTGGAACCGCGACACTGTAAAAGTGGGTGCTGAACAGGTAATGCTACAAAAAAAAAAGGTTACCCCCCAACCCCTGCGCCTCGTCCACTTGGCCTTTTTGGGTAATCCGAAGGCACTTCACAAATATATCACTACATGGGTTAATGGCGAGGTCGCGTTTTTGTGCCTGCCTACCTTTGCCGGAACAGAAACGCAAAAATGGCACGGTGCTTACTTGACATACGGGAACCCCATTCGTGCCTTAGTGTATATGATGAACGGAGTACATCGAATAAAAAGGGGGACCGCGGTGTTCCGTATTGTTCGTTTCCCCAAGGTAAAAGCAAACACCCAACCATTGCAGGGAGGGGCAAAAAAAACATAAAATAAAATATACTGATGGAAGAGAAAAATTGCCCCCGCTGCTGCATAGTATATAGCATATTATGTGACGAGTGCTCTTCTCAATTTATATATTATTTTCAAACCTACATGACATGGCACGACATGATACGACTACTATACAATAACTCCCCCTTTATAAAGAATTTTTTTTTTTTTTTTAATTCACCCACGAAGTAAAATAAAAAACCAACAAGAACAAAAATTGAAGCCAGTTTGATATATATATATAGTGTCACGCTGAGGATTTAAAAAAAAAAAAAAAAAAATTTCCAACAAAGGAATACAATAATAAATAACTTTCAAGCCCAGAGGCGTTTATAAGTAATACCTCCCGTACGACCTTGTTCATTCCATTGTTTCAACACGACAGGGAGATCCACTCTTTTTTTTTTTTTATCAGTTCCCACGAGAGAAAACTTTTACTATATATATATACTACAATCGCAGCGACTAGCTTGTATGCTTCAATTTTCATTACAAGATGGCAACCAAAAAGGTGAAAGCCCCTCAACCGGAAACGGCCATTGTTTCCGGCCCGCAGCCTAAGGAAGGAGAATTAGTTTTTGGCGTCGCGCACATATTTGCCTCCTTTAATGATACCTTTATCCACGTCACTGATTTAAGTGGAAGGGAAACCCTCGTCAGGATTACAGGTTAGTTGGGACGCAAAAAAAAAAAAAGGGCGAAATAGAAGAAAAAAAAAAAAAAAAAAAAAAAGGGGAAAAAAAAAAAAAAAAAAAAAAAAAAAAAAAAGCGGCGACAAAAAATACATACATATGTTCATGCGCCAAGGGGGATTAAACACCATCCCCTGTTCGCAACATCCCTACCAATTGTGGCAAGTGTAGCAACGGTGCACGTACCCTCTACCCTTCGTGCTGCTTCCACCTCGCGCAGTTGCAGTGAAGTGAAGGGTTGGTGGGGCTGTCTCTACGGGGAGCCGTGCCGCCTATGTCGTCACAACCCCCCCTCGCCTTATTAACCCGTTCACATTTTTCACTTCATTTTTTCCCCCCTTCCATTCCAATACTCCCCACAGGTGGCATGAAAGTCAAGGCCGACAGAGACGAGTCCAGCCCATACGCAGCCATGATGGCAGCACAGGATGTGGCAGTTCGACTAAAGGAATTGGGAGTCTCAGCCATTCACATCAAGTTAAGAGCCTCAGGGGGTACCAAGTCCAAGACCCCAGGTCCAGGTGCCCAGTCCGCCCTAAGGTAAGAAAACGAGAAAAAAAAATATATGTACACAGTACGCATATATATGTGTGCACATATGTATGTAGAAAGGATGCGCGTCATAATGAGAGCATTGCCCACCCGCACTGTACGCACATGTCAATTGTTAATTTTGTTACCCGCTTCCCACCCCTACAGAGCTTTAGCCCGTTCAGGATTAAAAATAGGTAGAATAGAAGACGTGACTCCAATCCCTACCGATTCCACCAGGAAAAAGTCCGGAAGAAGAGGAAGGCGTTTGTAAAGCAGTTTTACACGTGGTCCCTGCAAAAGGGAAGAGCCTGCCCCCCATCGCGAAGAGGACACATATGTGTACGTCTACATTTGTGTATGTGTTGTATGCCGTATGTACCCGCGCGTAAGGTGATTCTGCGATGATAAGGAAAGCGAGCAACGGCCGGGGGTTTGGAAGAAAGCCAAGCTGGAAAGGAAGAGAAGACCCAATATTGTCTCGCTGCTCCATAACCCAGCTCCATCTCAACTTTTAACTTTATTTTACTTCATTGCAGTTTTTATTTTTTTTTTTTTTCTCTATTTTTTCTTTACTTTTTTATTCTTTATTTTAATTTAATTTTTTTTTTTTTTCCCCCTCTCTTTTCCACGTGCGTACATAAACAGTAATAACCCTTCCCCTTTGCAATTCCAAAAGGGATGCCAATTTATTGGTTAACCAGATTAACGTAAAAAAAAAGGAAAAACGCTCCTCGCGCGTGCGTGTGTAGTCACTGCGATGAGTGTGGACTCTGCCAAGTGTGCGCACTTTTTATGTGGTTGGCTATGCACATAGAAAGGGCATCAACGAAATGGCTGCCCCCGCCTCGAGTGGTGCGAGAAATACGTTTCCGTGGCAGCCCCAATTTGAGCAGGCAAACTATAAAAAGGTGTGCTAAGGCTTGCCCCAAGAAATGTGTGTCACTGTCTACAGGGAAATCGCGAAAATAACCACGTCGTAAATTTTGTGCCAAATGGCCGCACAAAAAGTTGTATGAACATGTGCAGGTAAAATGTGATTTTTTTTTTTTTTTTTTTTTTGAAGACTACTTGGCGTAAGGTATAGTAACACATTACGATAAACACTCAAAATGGCTGTTTTTTTTTTTTAAGGCCACTGAGTTTTCCACCTTGGGAGGAATGCTGACACATGGGGACATAAACAGGAAAAAGACGCGCCATTGTGTCAGTCGCAGCGGTCTCCGCGTTGCCCACCTCATTACGCCGCTTCATATCAGCACAGAATAGCGCTGGAAGTTTTCGCGCAGGAGGGCCTTCTTCTGCTCGGAGTTCATCTGAAGCCATTGGCCACCATTAATGGGGATGATCTGCAGGGGGAGGGAGGAGGAGAAGCGGTAGAAGGGGTGTGTGAGATCAATGGGATGTGTGACGGGGCGAGGTGCCCTAAACGGGGATGTGCCCACCTTCCATCCGTGTGCATGGAGGACACGCATCTGTAGGGAGACGAAGCCGCTGTTCATGTGATCCCAGTTAGCCGTTTCCAGAGTGCGCATCAGGTGTTCCTTGCCAAAGACACAAATACCTATCTTCATCTCCTCATTCAAAAGAATATCAATAATGTAGGGGGAGTTTTGGTAAGGTTCATACTGGAGCTCATATGAGACTTCAAAACATTTTAACATGTGTGTCAATTCACTTATTATTCTGTTCCTCATTTTCAGAGCATCCTTCTCCTTCTTATAAACGCTAAAATCATTTCTCAACGTTCTACACTTGTCATGCATGCAGTACTTGTACATACAATCTAGCGCATCCGCGTCAACTAAACAATGAGGTATCTCGCTAAAGCAAGCATCCGCAATTTGGTGGAGTCTCTTAAAAGCTTGTGAGTCATCTGGGTTTCTGTCCACAAAGGTAGCATTTAAAATGAGATGAAAATTTTCTTTTGTTTTGTGATAATTCGCAACAATGTATGACCAGGTGATATTAACAAGGCAGTTCTTCCTGCTCATCAGATGATTATCTGTACTGCAGGATTGTTGGCTTAACGATTCTAACAACCACGTGTATGAGCTATCAAATAGGGGCTTATAAATTATATTAACATAAGCACAGGACCACAAAAAGGTAGCTACATCAACCATTTTTACCTTTATAATGTCCCATTCCTTGTACACCTGCTCGATTAGTACTTTATACACCTGCTCGTCGTACACATTCGTTTTAACAATAGAAGATAAGACTTTCAAAATTTGAAACGCACTCAGTCGACTCAGCAGGTAAATATCCTTCACATGATCAAAGAGACTGCGCAAGTAATTTTTGTGGAACCAAGAAATTTTGGCTAAACTTAGGATGGGGTGTATCCACAGGGAAATGTTCTTCGCATGAAGAAGATCAGTTGACCTCTCACATAATACATCTAGCAAGTTGTTATACAAAACGATTCTTTTATTGTATGAGGAGAAACAGCTTATTGCATGCACCACATCTTCTACATCTAACATGCCAATCACCTGAGTGTTCCTCTGTAGCAAGTCACATATATCATTCACTGCTTCTTTTACCTCCCCTCCGTGTTTTTTATTGTGTTCTAGATACTTCAAGCACCTTACCATTTCGGTGACCGCATTCGTTTTGTCCGACATGTGGTGAGGAGCTGCTGCATCTGATCTCTCCCATTTTTTCAAATTGTTATTTTCCTTTTTGTCTTCCAAACATGTCATCACAGCAGCATCCTCGTTGGAACAGCTATTTTGGTTCTTCTCTGACGAGACTGTCTGGTGGGTCAGTGGAGAGTCGTCCAGTTGCTTCACCTGCAAACGTATATGCGAGCTGACCAAGTTAATCAAATGGACATACCTCTCGGGGTGTTTGAAATTCGTGGCGACCTTCAGGACCAGTTGGCAAAATGGTAAGTCAAAGTGGGGGACATCCCTCACCACTGCATCTAAAACACTATCGTAGAAGCTGGTGTATTCCTTACAGAACCGATGGAAGGAGTGGAACAGACTCTTCACCTGCACCAGATTCAACTCTTCCACCCTCGACACACACACAGGAACTAGTCTGTCCAAATAATGCTTCGTCCTCAAGCTGTGCTTGTAGCACTCCTCTGCAAAGGACACCAGTGCATCTGTGTCGAGGTGACTGACTTTGGAAGACATGTACTCGTAGAACTCTGAAAAATAAAGAGAGTGTTTATTCAGCACGGCTATGCAGTGCATGCACAGTTTGATTTCGAGTTGGTGCTGCTGTTCGTTGTCCTGTTCATGCTGCTGTTGATTCGCCTGTGCACCCCTGGACATGTGCCCCCCTTTGAGCATCGTAGCAATCTCGTAACACAAATCGCGGATCCTATTTTTCATGTTCATTTGGCTTAGACCCCTCATCAGATCGATCAGACTGTGCTTGTCCATCTGCAGGACGTGATCACTCACTTGGTTGAAGAAGCTGTTTGCTTCTCTCTCCTCCAAATTCAGAAGAATGTTTTTATTTTTATTCACCAGGATCACCGCATCTGCTATGGACGTGGCGTTTTTGTCCCCTTTGTGAAGCATCCCTTTGAGGAGGTCCACATCGGTATGCCCCACCGCAGACCTCTCAATAGAGTGTGCGTGAGTATTGGTGGTGACCTCCCCATGTGCGTTCCCCACACTGCTCATAAACCTTTGGTACTCCATTTCCTCCTGTTGCCTCCATTTCTCCTCGTCCACAGTGATGTCGAAGGTGAGGCTCGTGGCGACGCTGTCATCAAATGGCACATCCTCAAATACCGCGTCGTCTCCTGCGACGTTAGCGTGTTGGGCCTGAATTGTATCACCTTCATTTTTCCATTTTGCGAACGGCTCATAAGTATTGCTGCTGGAGTAGCTGCACTTGTTCAAATGGAACCTGCTGGCAGAGTACTGAACGAGCCTCGCACGGAGGCTCCTTACCGGGAGTCTTTTCATGTTGCAGCGAGGCGTGCTAAGCAGCAACTGGGTTGCCTCTACAAAAGCAAAACGACCAACTGCCCCACTGTGCAATCCTTACAAGGCAATCTCCCCATAATTAGAAGCAACTTCGTCCGCACCTTGGCCAAAAAAAAGCAGCAAAAAAAAAAAAAAAAAAAAAAAAAAA